AATTGTTTGTTATCAAAAACTCCTCAGAAACAGTATAAGATATCGACAAAATGTTTGTACTAAATTATTAATTCCGAGATGTCGTAACATATGACCTTTTGTTGAACTGTTACGTTGACATTTAATGGGAGTTTTCTCCTCTCTAATTATAGGAACTAATTCCTAAAAGGTTACAATATTCCATAATTATAGACAAGGCAATTTATCATTGGAATTCTTTTTACGGCTAAAACGGTGTCAGTTGTACTATGAAGTTTCGTAAAAAAAATATATATTCTGGAACATGAAAGTTCACATGCACTACGTTTTTTATCAATACTCGGTCAAAACATATGGTTGTACGACATATTTTCAACATTTATATGCCTCGAACTTCTAAGAGTTTAAACTTACACTAAAATTCTGTTCTACCCCTCCCTTTACCTTGAGTCTTTCTGAGAATTCAATTTGACCGCTATCCAACTGTATTTATGCTGATAAAATTTCCCAAGTTGTGTCTTTATGAGATAAAGCATGGAGATCATATCTGGGAACTAGTATTTTTATAGAACTTTATTTACAAAGTGCAACCTTTAGCACACATATAATTTTGGAATCAGCGGAAAGTGAGCTACTATTTTGCTATTAGCTATTTATGTTCAACTCTAAATTGTGACCCTTTTAGATTCAATATAATAAATTACCAAAGCTTTCGGTGCGGCGGTCTGACTGAAGACAGATTTCATTTTTTCTTTGAATGTCCGCTTTATGCACAAATCAGAATTCACCTTTTAGACAAAATACTTTTTGTCCCATCTTTAGATCTTGGTACTTTACTAAATGATATAGTTTAGTATGTCGATGAATAAGCTTTTTGACGTAGGACTGTTGGTTATATATTTGGGAAATTGTGAACTTTCTTTTTTCTATAACTATTGTACAAATCTATAATTATCTAATGTTGTTGTTGCGTGTCTTTTATATTTATATATTACAAATTATTATATTTAGGAGAGGACTATCTAAGTTGTGATAACTTGTGTCTGATCATTTTTGTTATAGGTTATAACAAATAAAATATGTTTAAATGAAAATATATTATTTTACACCGGAAGTGACTCTGGGTTTATCAAATGTGGCTGATTAAATTCCTTATTTCATTAAAAAAAGTACTACATATATCTGGAATCAGTGAAAGATAAACTATATTTTGACATAAAATTTTAAAACGGAATTTAATATTTCCATTCAAAAGATAGCTAGTGCATTTGAGTCGGAAAGGTCTTTAATTGATCTTTAATTTATAAAGATAATGTGTATAGACACCAAAATGTAACCATGCAAACGTTTGCTCAAATTGAAATTTGGTATCTACCCAGCTCTGCCTAAATCATACAATTTGAAGTAAATTTTTCAAATGTGGAATTATTTTTGCAGAATTGCAAATAAACTGATTCTAGGAACTCCAAATTCACGAAACCCCCAATTCACATTCATATTAAAATAATTTAATTTTGTATGTAACACGTCTTCTGATTGGCTGAAAGTGTTTTGTCTATCAGCTCATAGACATAATTTTGTAATGTGACCATGACGTCAGCAACGTTTTTATCATGATTTACGCCATTTTAGAATTAAATTATAAGGAATGACTGTAATATTTTTTCTGTCTATTCGAAATAACCTAAAAAATGTGGTGCACACTTTTATATAGCCCGCTACGCGGGTTATTCAGTGTGCACCACATTTTTGATGTTATTTCTTCATAGACAGAAAAAATATTACAGTCATTCCTTAAGTATTATTGTTAAAAAAGTTTTGTCAAACACATCGACAGTCATACATATAAATTATTTTTCTACATTACTGCAAAAAACTAGACATTAGTTGTGTGGCCTTTTCTTGCCACTTTTTCACAAAAAAATGAGAGAAAATTTCTGCACATTGATTTTCAGTTCCGTTGTTTACAATAATTAAAAAGAGACATACAATAAACATTTTAAAATAAGCAGCAATTTATTTTTACAACTCTTCTAAAAATATACAACTTTATAGCAATTCTATTTAAGTATCATCTCTCATAAATATATAAAACAACATTACATTTAGTATATAATATTGATATAAAAGAGAGGCGTTTTATACAAAATTAAAAGAGACTATAACATTAAAATATTACAGCAAATTCTTTCATCATAAAACATAACATCATAAAACCAAGGATTTATATAGCAAGGTGGATTGGCATCTCGTAGACTTTTGCATAGACTGTATCTATATATAGTATAATGTGTTGTGCGGCGCACTATATAAATCCTTGATAAAACAATATTTATATGTACATTATTTACACTATAAAAAAATCTTTACTTCTTTTTAAAATAAGATAACATGCTTTGGAACAGCTACGAATCATAATAATGGAATCGGAATTTTGCAAATACAAATGTATATATCTCAGTTTCCGAACTTTCTAAATAAATTATATAATCTCTCCGACTGTAAATTACATTGCCACTGATCATCATATTTATTGAACATTCTAGACATAATAATATTAACAACTGAGGCACTATCAATATATTCTGTAATGTTACACAAGTATTCTACATTGTACTGAATGAGAAAAATTCCTAACATAAAAATTCCAATATTGTATTCACCTGAAGCTTCTACTCGTAATATCTACTCATTTGAAAATAAACTCATCATAGATACCAGGATTGAATTTTGTATTTGCGCCAGACGCGCGTTTCGTCTACAAAAAACTCATCAGTGACGCTCGAATCAAAAAAAGTTAAAAAAAAAAGCCAAATACAGAAGAGATTGAAGAGCATTGAGGACCAAAAACAAATTCCTAAAGGTTTTGACAAATATAGCTAAGGTATCTATTCCTGAGGTAGAAAAGCCTTAGTATTTCAAAAATTCAAAGATTTGTAAACAGTAAATTGATAATTATGACCATATCAATTATAATTCATGTCAACACAGAAGTGCTGACTACTGGACTGGGAAAACCGGTTGTTTAACCGATCAAAACGCATATTGTTCAAACGGCACCAAAGTCGAATAAAACATTGCCATTTTGTTAATGATAGGTACCCACACCATATCTTTTCACACTGAAGCGTTTAGAATATATTTATTAACTTCATGAAAAAATAAATTTAGAAGCTCTATTATGTATGGCATAAATAAAAGAGAAACCCTTGCAACCCCAAATACTAACACCACATTCAACAATTTGGAGCACCAAACTTTCATATAGTTTTGAAAATACATTATGAGAAACACTACATGTTTTGCACTTAGGTATACCTACACAAAGTGCTCTACAACTTAAGCAGTTAAGCCAAGCCCCTATATATTTTTAAGAAAACAGCGAAAACAGCAAAAAGAGTAAAAATCAATATTTCAGGGGCAATGAATAAAAAAACTGGATGTACAATTTTCAGAGTAGATAGATTTTTTCATGCTGATCATTTTTGCAGTTCACACCTTTAACCTACCTCCTAGTTTTCAAAATAACAACCAAAAATGCGAAAAAAAACCATGTATACTCAAGGACAATTTCTCAAAATCAGGATTACAAACATTTCTGAAACTTTCAGTGTTACTTAGCCTTGTTGTGCTGATCACTTTTGCAATTTACACGTGATGTTAGGAATCGAAACGGTATTTGGAAGGCCATATAATTTACCTCAATTTAGGATAGACTCTTGAATTCAATTTAGGATAGACTCTTCAAAATTCAAGAGTCTATTCTTAATTGAGGTAAATTATATGGCCTTCCAAATACCGTTTCGATTCCTAACATCACTGAAGAGACATTAATTGTCGAAATTCGGATATGGTGTACAAATTTTTGCACCTCATGTTTGCGGTATACCATCTTTTCCGCAAGTTTATTGTTTTCTGTTTGGTATTTTGAATTATAATAAAGATCCATTTTGTTACATCTTGTGATCCGTTTATTTGGCAATCGCCATTGGCAGTCAGCAGGGTTTAAGAACATCCGTTGTTCGACCTGTTAGTCAAATGCGTTTTGTTTAAATATACTTTTTCACTTTTTTGGTCTTTTGGAAAATGTTGTTTGTGCTGTATTCAGACCCATCTGCCAAGAAATTTGTTTTGCATGCACACGTATAAAAATTGCGGTTTTTATCCAACGCAATCATAGGTTTGAACGTTGTTTTCAATTTAGACTTATATATAAAGACAGTGTATATGTACAAAGGCAAAACATTTTCTAACTCTTAAATCGCACAGTAGTTTTTTCTTCTTATAAACAATAATTAAAACAATACATACAGGAAAAAACATGTGATTAGTTGTCATGTAAAATCATAAATTGATCGAAAACGTACATAAAATATCATTTACACTTGTATGTGAATATCTTCCAAATATATATGATAGTGGTGTAATAGATCTATAGTTTTGGTTTTATCTATCTTCCTTTGTTTTTAGAAATATCTTAAAGTAGTTATAACTTTTTTTCTTACTGTCGTGTGCATTATGAGTGGTCTAGAGCGCTGGACACGAAGCTAAGCGATTGGTGCTGTAGTGTTGCAAAGATGTGAGTTCAAATCCCGTTTTGGACAAAAAATTTCAGCATAAAAATCTAATTCTAACACTGTTGGGTTTAATTTCCAGACTTAAAAAAATATTTGTATCAAGGTAGCACTACAGTCATGTAATGATTTTAAGTGATTTTTTTTTATCACATTATTTTAAAGTATTTATCTGAACATTTTGTAAATATCCCAGAGTCTTATCATGTCACAACAGGGAATACATTAATAATTAAATTGTGTAAATAAAAGCACATAGTAAATACTATATATATATATATAACAGCATATCGGAGTAGCTAATATTTCAATCATCTGTTGATACCAAGTGTCCAGCTGTGAATCTCTGACCACAGGTCTTATTTTATTATGTTGCAATCAACAGCAATTTAGATAACTACAGGAGGTAAACAAAGAAAATACAAGGGGAAACAAGTTGCTTTCTTAAAAAAAAAAAAAAAAGCAATGCGTGAACCTAAGACCGCTGACTGCCGAGTCACCAAAAGATTTTTTATTTTTTTTTAACCATAACAAATATTTTTATTCAATCATTTCCTGATATATAAATACCTAAGTAGCCCAGGTCGCATACTTAGGGGCCCCTGTATTTTAACAGCCTCACTTGACCAGGGAAAAAATCAAATGAATTTTAACTTACAATAGTTTTACATACATATATTTAAATAACCAAAAGATTGTTGCTGAATTTGTGTTTGCTTTTGAATTGAAATAATTGACTGTGATTAGAAGAAGTCAGTTGAAAGTGTATATTTACATCTACTATTTAAATATACATTTTAAAGCTAGACTATTTTATTTAGTACTTGGGAATGTACATAATTTTCCCGATGATAACCCTTTTGCAAATCCCAATTTCTACAAACCGGATGACTTATGCAAATTGCACAAACCAATCGCAAGATAAATTTATGCACTCAGTTTGCTTTATAATCTGGAATTCTGCATGCATTTATTTTATCTATCATATCTTTATATTTTGCTTCCTGCATGGACCTTCATGTTCTCAACTCGTTATTGAAGCTGTCTGTACTTATGGTAGATGTTAATTGTATAGATACATCTAAAGTCCAATTTCCATGTGCAATGAAACCTGTGGCATGCAACTGATTGGGACATCTTATAAAGAGACAAATAAAACATCTCAAATTTTAAGGATTTCCTGATTTTACTTAAATCAATTCAAATATTCTACAGGGAAACTTGGTTTTGCCGAAGAATATCTTAATTCAGAAATTTTATGAATACCTGTACATACCCTCAAAATAACCAATTTATATAAAAAGGTATGTAGATATAACAAGATACCAGAATTAAAATGATGTTCGCCAGACGCCAGTCTACAAAAAAGCATCAGTGACACTCGAATGAAAAAAGTTAAAAGGCCAAATAAATTACAAAGTTAAGGAATCTATTCCTTGGGAAGACAATCCTTAGCTTTTCGAAAAGGTCAAAGTTTATAATAGGACAGTGACTCAAAAAAGAAACAAAAGAGAAACAGCTAGAGGTCAGAATACCGTAAGTAATGATGACCGTGCATGAAAATCACATGTCAATCTCTTACAGCCGTGTCCTAAATTTAGATAATAAAAACGAAAATGCGCACTCACGAGTGAAATTAGTATTATAGGAATTTTTGAGAACGCAAACCGATAGTGTGCGTTTGAATGTGATCTATAATGTGAATGAATCAAGACGTGTAGGATAGTTGGGCAACACAGTGAATACAATTTTCAAAACCGTACCACAGTACGAATATGTAGATGTTATAAGTTTAAACTATTAAAACAAACAAACAAAAATAGAATTGAAATTTTATAATAAACATACGTTCCTGTTAGTAATTTTTTTCCGAAAATTTTCAATATATATACATGTAGTATCAATAAACACAAACGTCAAGTATCTACGGACGGACATTTTATTTATTAAATGAATCTATTTTTAAATTCTACCATTCCACTATATGAATAGATTACTATACAAAATATAAGCAAAGATTTATAAATCCATACTAAAACAGTACAAAAAAATTAACATTATGATAGTGCTTAATTAAATTTTATTATGATTATTGTGAATTATTATTACGTTTTTTTGTGAGCTGCAAGGATTTAAAATCTTTGTGAATTGAAAACGCACAAGTATTTTTGTTCATGACCATTTAAAATTTAAATATTTAATTAATTTATCTTACTTTCCGTTTTATGGATATGTTACAATACAAAAAAATAAATAACAATTAATTATAAAACCTTACTAAAACGGTAGGAAATAATTAACGTAGAAATATAATTATTATTGTTAACAACATTTTTTTTGTATGATGCAAGGATTTATTCAGATTTAATTATTATGCATGTTTCATTTACAAATGAATATTTAAAAATACCAAAGCAGAGTATCTTGTCATATAAATACTTATTTCTTAATTGCAACTCTGAAAATATTCTGACTTCATTTTAATATTTAGTTTCTACAGAAACATAAATACAGTATATATTTTGTATATATTTCTTTGATTTTTATTGAATTAATTAAATTGAATACTTTAGATAATAATATTATCTTTCTGTTTTCCGATCTAATATACACATTTAAACCAGAATGTTCTCTCCTTAGTCTATGATGAAAATACACACGTGGTTAAATCTTCAGACTTAATTAGTTTACATGTTATCATGACAATGCACAATACCACGTTATGATTGACCTAGATACACACAGTGTACAGGGGTCGTTTTAAAACAAATATAATTGCGTTGTCTTAATACTTGTTTAGAAACTTTCACATCAAAGCGCTTAAAAACATTCACATTATTAAAACGATTTATTGACTGCAACCTAACCTTATTGTTTACTTTCCAATTTACTTTGATGGTGTAATGTCACGTGGTAGCCCAGCCATAGAGGGACCGTATCAAAGACGTAGATAACTAACTACCTGTATAAATGATCGGAAAACTTTCGAGACGTTCCGAGAATTTTATTCCGACTTCCGGCCGAGAGATATCGAGTGGCCCATAGACACATCCAAAACTCGCCAATATATAAGCGTGAACCCCTCAGGGAGTTCACGCAAAAATGTAGAGGGGAAAATTTAAAATGAGACACAGATAAATATTAATGTGTAAGGGTAGCTTTGAAAGTCTCTGACAAATGTTCTCACTAAGGCAAGAAGAATTTGTATCTGAATCTGACACCAGCAACAGTGACATTCACAACAATCCGTATTCTAGACAAACCACCTGGATAGTAGTGAAATTGTTTGTTTTTTTTTCTTAAAATGTGTTTAAAACTTTTTACTTAATAAACTAGAATTTACTGTTCTATTTTGTAGAGGATTGTAGGTAGTATAAAATATCTTTTATTACACATTTTTAAGTGTCTGTGTCTTAGTTAATTTCACAGAACCATATATTTCTTTTTAAATATGAATAATAATTATTATTTCATTGTGAGAATAATGTATAAATATTAATTATATGCACCTGGTCACTCTTCACAATCTCTTATCTTAGACTTTCTGGACAGGAGAGGATCTTTGACCATATTACAGATGCTGGTCAAATCTGTGACGTCGAACTCCCGCCAAATTCTAAATTAGTGTTGTTAAGGGAGGGACAGTGCACAAATAATGCAAAATTGACAGTTTAAGTTTACAAGAAACAAAAACTGTTTGCTTCTATTGATAAAATAATGATGTCAGAACACTCCTGGTGTGTTTTATATTTATGTTGCAATATTTTGGGTTCAAAGGGGAAATTCGGTTATTAGGGTTATAATTCACAACAATTTTTCATGAGATTTGTTATCAAAAAATGAAAATTGAAACTTGATGGGTACCCCTTTGGTTTGACTTTGATATATGTGATTAAAGGAAGTCTTTTCTACAAAATCATGTCATAGTTTTTGGATAATTTGTTTCTGAAGGAATCTATATGTCTCCAAAGATGAAAGGTAGAATGAGATATGGCACCCAGCAGTTAAATCAATATATCTGCTAACTGGAGGCATATATCAAAAATATGAGACACGGTTTTGTAGCTTGTGTATGGTCAATTAAAAGGATGAAAACAAATGTTTACTACTATTAAATTTTGTTTTGAATGTGCCATTCTCTACCAAGTTGGAAGAGCACTTTTTTGGCAGTAAATGGGCTTTTTTAAAATTTACCATACCAATTCACAGATACAGAAAGAATAATATTTCAGCTTTAAAATGAGATAAAGATTTAAAATATCCATTGAGTAATTTTGGAGAAATTATTCTTTAAAGGCTGTTGGTTGAAGTAAAAAAAGTCAGACTGTAGTGCTACCTTAACCCTGTATCTCAAACACTCTGAGATCCAGATATAATGTATGGTTGTCACTTGCTTAGACTTGTTTGTATGATATACTTATTTCTAGTGACTGTATAATGAATTGAATCATTATCCGATACGGTATATAAAAATTGTTGAGTTAGATTGCTGACAAAAAATATGAGAGCAGGTTCGCCATTTTATGAGCAGCATTTACAACGGCTCCTTTAGTATTTAAGAATGTTCGTTCCTCCTGTTTCTGACTTTTTGTTAGTTTTCGGAATCCTCTACTTTTATCCATGTAGTGCCGTTAAAAATTTTGCCCGCTAACCTCCACTTTTCTTTTCATAATTTTATAACTTATATATAGTTTATAAGAAAAAATACAGTGTCTTTATGACCATGCACTAATGCTAAAAAGAAAGCAGTATTTCCATCTTTTGAAATAGTATTAACAGCTGCTCCATTTGTAATAAGTAAATCTACAGTGTCTGTATGACCAGTACTGGCTGCTAATATGAGAGCAGTGTTTCCATCTTCATTAGCAGCATTGACATCTGCTCCTTTTGTTATAAGTAAATCTATAGTGTCTGTATGATCACGCCTTGTTGCTAATATGAGAGCAGTGTTTCCACTTTCATTAAGAGCATTAATATCTGCTCCTTTAGTAAATAGTAAATCTACAGTGCCTGTACGACCAGCCATTGCTGCTAATATAAGAGCTGTGTTTCCATCTTTATTAGCAACATTAAAATCTGCTCCTTTAGCCATAAGTAAACTTACAATGTCTTTTTGACCATACTCTATTGCTAAGATGAGAGCAGTGTTTCCATCTTTATTAGCAGCATTAACACGTGCTCTTTTTGCAATAAGTAAACCTACAGTGTTTGTATGACCATGCATTGTTGCTAATATAAGAGCAGTGTTTCCATCTTTATTAGCAGCATCGACACGTGCTCCGTTTCTAATAAATGAATCAATGATGTCTGTATGACCAACCCTTGCTGCTAATGTGAGAACAGTTTCTTCATTTTTATCAAGAACATTTACACTTGCTCCTTTAGCCATAAGTAAATTTACCATGTTTTTGAGACCATACTCCATTGCGCATACGAGAGCAGTTTTTCCATCATCTCTTACACCATTAACATCTGTTCCTTTTGTAATAAGAAAATCTACAGTTTCTGTATGACCATTTATTGTTGCTAAACTGAAAGCAGTAATTCCATTTTTATTAGCAGCATTTATATCTGCTCCTTTTTTTAAAAGTAAATCTACAGTGTCTGTAAGACCAGCCCTTGCTATTAATATGAGAGCAGAGTCCCCAAATTTATCAGCAGCATTTACATTTGCTCCTTTAGCTATTAGTAAATCTACAGTGTCTTTATAACCACCATTTGCTGCTAATAAGAGAGCAGTTTTTCCATATTCATTAACAGCATTTACATCCGCTCCTTTAATAATAAGTAAATCTACAGTGTCTGTTTGACCATAAATGGCTGCTGATATGAGAGCAGTTTTTCCATTTTCATTTGCAGCATTTACATCCGCTCCTTTAATAATAAGTAAATCTACAGTGTCTGTATGACCACCTTCTGCTATTGATATGAGAGCAGTGTTCCTATTTTTATTAGCAGCATTTACATTTGCTCCTTTAGTTATTAGTAAATCTACAGTGTCTTTATAACCACCAATTGCTGCTAATATGAGAGCAGTTCCTCCATCTTTATTACCAGCATTTAAATCTGCTCCTTTAGTTAATAGTAAATATACAGTGTCTGTATGACCAGCACTGGCTGCTAATATGATAGCAGTGTTTCCATTTTTAATAGCAGCATTTACATCCGCTCCTTTAGAAATAAGTAAATCGACAGTGATTTTATAACCAGCCCTTGCTATTAATATGAGAGCAGTGTTTCCATCTTTATCAACAGCATTAACATCTGTTCCTTCTGTGATAAGTAAATCTACAGTATCTTTATGACCAGCACTAGCTGCTAATATGAGAGCAGTTTGGCCATTTTTATCAGCAGCATTTACATCGGCTCCTTTAGTAATAAGTAAATCTACAATGTCTTTTTCACCAGTCCTTGCTGCTGCTATGATAGAAATGGTTCCGTCTTTACTAGAAGCATTGACATCTGCTCCTTTTGTAATAAGTAAATCTACAGTGTCTTTGTCACCAGTCCTTGCTGCTGATATGAGAACAGTGTTTCCATCTCTATTAGCAGCATTGACATCTGCTCCTTTTGTTATAAGTAAATCTACAGTGTCTGTATGACCAGTCTTTGCTGCTGATATGAGAACAGTGTTTCCATCTCTATTAGCAGCATTGACATCTGCTCCTTTTGTAATAAGTAAATCTACAGTGTCTGTATGACCAGTACTGGCTGCTAATATGAGAGCAGTGTTTCCATCTTTATTAGCAGCATTGACATCTGCTCCTTCTGTAATAAGTAAATCTACAGTGTCTGTATGACCACGCTTTGTTGCTAATATGAGAGTAGTGTTTCCATCTTTATCAACAACATTAAAATCTGCTCCTTTTGTTACAAGTAAGTCTACAATGTTTTTATGACTATCAGTTGCTGCATATATTGGAGCAGCGTTTCCAACATTTACTTCAGGGTTATTTATATTTGCCTTAGCTCCCTTAGACATAAGTGAAAAATCGTTACCTGTGTAACCATATTTTGATGCCAATAAAATAGCCGTATTTCCATGCCTATCTTTCTTGTTAATTTCACATCCAACAGATATAAGCAACTCTGCAGTACTTGTATAGCCCATAAAGCATGCCCACATCAGACATGTCGCCTTATGCATGTCAACGTCATGTATGCTTGCCCCTTTGGAAAGAAGAAAAGTACAAATATCTGTGTGACCATGTAAACTTGCATACATCAACGCAGTAATTCCGCTCATGTCTTTTTGATTGATATTAATGTGCTTTTCTAAAATGTACTCTGTTATTTTAAAAATTCCATGTTTACACGATAACATCAATGGGGTTAGTCCCTCTTTATTACAGAGACCTACATCAGCTCCATTGTTAATCAGAAAATTTACAGTCATTACTGAGTTACCCGCTTCTCCCATGCCGTTTATTGCATACAATATAGGAGTCCATCCTCTAGCATTAGCTTGGTTTACATTAAATTTCTTATTCAAAAGGTACTTAACTATTTCAGTACACCCAGAATAGCATGCCAACATAAATGCATTTCTACCATCCTGCTCATGAACACGCAAGTTTGATCCCACATCAATAAGATATTTTGCTGTATTATAATGTCCATTATAAATGGCCCAGTGCAGAGGTGTAAACTCTCTGGCATCTGTTTCATTCAGGACGTCTCCTCTCTGTATGAAGCTTTTAACCATACGGAGTTTCCCTAAGGAACTTGCACCAATAAGTGGGGAAACATTTTTCTGAATGAAAAGACATTTGTAAAATTCTTCAAGGTTATCCATATGTGCTCCATTTTCTATAAGCAAGTCTAAGATTAGACTATAATTGTTGCTTGTAGAACTATCAACATGCCTATCTGAATAATGACAACCTTTTAAGGCCATAATCAGAGGAGATTGATAACTAACGTCAGCTTTGTTTATGTTTGCCCCTTTACTTAGCAACAACTGCACTATAATATCATCCCCATTTTCACAAGCTCCAACTAACGGTGGATATGTGCTAAAATGATCTGCATTAATATCATCTGTCCTCTCGAGAATAAATTGTACAAGGTCTGTGTATCCTTTCAAACATACTAGGTACGTAAGAGTTTTTCCTTTTTTATCTTGTGCATGCAACAAGATTTTTATCTTGTCGTTTGTAAATAGCTGCAGATGAGAAATAAGCTTCGATCTGTATACTTCATCTTGCATTTGCCTGTTACAAACAATATCGTATATTTTGCCTTTCCTTAACATATCAACAATTCTGTCAAAATAAATCTGTTCGTTGTCCTTTTCAATTATTATTTCAAATACTTCACAGTTTTCATGTAAACTTTTCAGCTGCATTCTACAACATATGATATTATCATCGGAAAATTTCAACATACATTTTTGAAACTTTCCACCAAAGTACCAACATAAAAAGTCAAACATTTTGTCATGAACTGCATGATAAGCAGAACTATTTGACTCAATCTCATCTGTCTTTTGTATTTCCCTTAATTCCAAGTACGTTCCTAGAAGTGTATTCAGTTCATGAATAACCAAATCAGTTGGTGTTCCACGGTTGACAATAAAGCTATCAAATATGAGTTCAAGTGTCTGTCTGAACTTTTCACCCCGGATGGTTCTTTCAAAAATGCAACCATCGAAGACAACCAGTAAGAATAAAACACACAGCTTTGTCTTATTCGATTGAACATGCATTTCATCTAATTCGTTTTTGTACATAAGAAATGGATTTTCAAAATATTCCAAAGCATTCATATTTGAATTTTTTGAATAAAGCAGACAAAGAAGAGGTAAATAGTCATACCTATCTAAGCTCTGGCCGATTTCCATGACAACATTCTTTGGAAGGTATGCCTTAGCAATTTCTAATTTTATTTTTGATGGAAGTAGAAACTTTTTAGATGTTAAATCACATACATTCTTTGAAAATATGCTTATTCGCTTAAATTGGTTTTCTTGAAAAACCTGAAGACGCGATGTTGTCAATAATTTTGTTTTGCCCCCCTTCAAAATTTTGTCAATATCATCTTTGTATTTTATCCACTCTTCAACATCATAATGGTTCATTACATATTTTCCACAAATATCGTCAATTACAAATATTTGATATGCCTCAAGTTTATAGTGGGTTACAATGTCTGAAGGATTTTTACATGGTATAATAACATACTTCGTGTCTTGATTTTGCATTGACAGAGCAACATGATGAATTGTTGCCGATTTCCCAGTTCCTGGCTGACCTGTAACTGTGACAACGTTCTCTCTACAAAGGATGTTAGAAACATATTCAGATGATGGTGTTTTCACATATTTCTCTCCCTTCTCTTTCCACTCCTTTAACTGAAGTTTGTGAATTCCTAAAATAGTGAAATGGTGAAATAATTATCTAAGTTACTTTTATATGCCAGCTTTAGCTGGCACTTTTGGTAGAAGCATCGAATTGGAATAAAGAACGAAAACTATCTCTACATGATCAATCTAAAAAGTTTCGTCACTCTCGTACGATTTTTTTTTTAATTTCGAAGTTGATCAAGTCTAGTTATCTAACTCTTAAAAATATTTTTTTCTGTTTTTTTCCTTATATTTATCAAATAAATATTATATTCTTGCTTGGTTTCAAATATAAAGTCAATTCTTCAAATAATGAAAACGAAATTAGCATTGGAATATCCGTCAGGACATTGTCAGGACATTAGTTTAACCCTTATATTTTTAATGGCTGCCAGATTCTCGTTTAATCGCGATCTTGAAAAAACGGGACAAAACGGAATAAATTCGACGTTAAATACCACATGAATTTTTATTTGTTTACAAAAACAAGAATTTAGAAATTTTAGTAACTTGTGTAGTTTATTTAAATTTTATTGTACCACGGAAATAACCAAAGTTTGGACAACAACATCTTACGCCATGTTTCATCGTCTGCTTCATCTTTCCATTATCAGTGACAAATTTCCTTAATAACCACAGGTACTTCATTTAAAAGTTACAATATCATAATTTATGATAAAATTTGTAGTGTAAAAGTTCCGTCCAGCCATGGGAACACAGAAAAACCTTCTGCAAGCAATAAATTTCGGGAGAAACGTAGCCGGAGGTAGCAAAATCCGGTGCTCTGCCTCTGGACCTGGTGGACCATGACCACTATTATTCATATGCTACACAATTTCCCATATCAAGTTACAGTGATAATGAAGTTGGTTATACTATTGAATGTGATCACGGTTATTCCTGTAGCTCACAGAAAAATGCAGGTGAAATTCAAAACTTAACAAAAGACAAGTTTTAAACAAAAAAAAATATATTCAAATTCACTATCTGTAGACTGTACTTCCTTTGACAAACTCTCAACAAATCTTGTCATTGATTATGACACATATCTACCTTAAACAGTCCCAGGAGATGGAGACTGTTTTTTTTACTCTCTAAGTTTAATCATAAAACAGCAGTAAAAGGAAACTTGAGTCTGAGTGATACATTTATAGGTACATATATATTGTATGCACCCATATTGTCCAAAATAGGATATTATGGGAAGATGGAGTTATGATAACCCATGATAATACAATGACTTTTGATAGGTATAGGGAAGTATGTGGGCTACATCCTTTGAAATTCAAGCTGCCGACACATTATTTGGATGCAATATAAATAATTGCCTCCCGCAGTCGCCTGTATATTTCATGCGTCAGTTTAAACCTGATCAAAACATTTTCACTCTACTGAATACTTTTATCAGGTCACATTTCAACCTATTAAAGCAATAAACACTTATGGTTAGAACGTCACATGCAGTTCCCAAATTGCACCGAGTACCCAATTTGTACCTATTCAACAAGAATAACTGCGGAAATCTTACAAGTTTTCTTTGAGACTAAACAATTTGTATTGTTATGATTTGACATTATACATGTCTTTCAACATCGGTTAATATATTTAAATATACACAAATCGTTCACAATGAGAATATATCAACAGATGAAGCATTCCCGGGAAAAAGTAAATCTACGAAAACGTCAGTGTTGTCACCATGCGAAGTTATCTAATAACCATCTTTAAAAAAATGTAAGCAACTTCACAACTACAAGTTAATTTTCATGACCAAAATAAAATAAAGTACAAACAAAAAAGCAATAAAATGCTTCGCCAAGTACAGCCTAATACAACCGCAGATGTAGATTTAGCATATAAAAAACACCAAAACTTTTATGTCAGTTGAAATCAAACATATTTTAATTTTGGACCCTTCAAACTTTAATATGGACTAATTTGAAAACAGGTATCAGGTGAGCCCGAACATTTCTATTCAGCAGCAGTCCAACTACATATCTCCTTAATTTTATATGATAGTCCCACAAAAATGTTGAAAAATTATGTGTAAATTTAATTTTTTTCTAGATTCTCTCATGTCATACATGTGAAAGCGGTACCTTTTTGGTCACTATTTATGTGTTGCATCTAAATATGAATTGTAACACTTTATAGTGACTGACCAGGTCAAACAAATACTTCTCAAGAAACATACAGAGAAAGAAGACAACTTGGAACAGCACCAGCCATGCCAGACTATGTATGAATAAAAACTCAGATCGGAATAGCATGGACGATATGTTAGTTACATGTCCTTGTCAGTAGTAAGGAAAGCTATCAATAATTCTGCAGATAACGCAATTTTATCAGGTTTATCGTACATTTTCTGTTCAAATTTTCACACAATCAGTGAATCAAAAAGGCTAAACTAACTTTTTATTACTGAAAGTTTCAAACAATGACAAGTGTTTCATTCATGAAATAACTTGTGCGTTTCTGCGAAAAAAATCATGTGTAATTTTGTGAATTAAAGGGAAAGAAGATCCTTTTGCGGTGCACTCGCGCATGTCAATTGCGAACTGACCCAATATATTTTCTTTATCAAGACCAGTTCACTGATACTGACGTCGACATTATCAAGAAGTACACATCAAAGGAAAAATGCACAAATTACCGATAAAATAATTTACACACCCTGTTTCGTGTGTATCTCCTGCCATATCAGTATTTGTTGCATTTATATATAAATAAGAAATAATCAATGTAAAAATGGTAAATTTTTGGAGAAAAACCCCAAAAATGTTGTTTTTGACCACTGACTCCTAAACTATTGGTACCATATGATAACCCCCAAAATAAATTCTAACCTTCCTTTTGTGTATTGAAGTTGAATCTTCTGTTACAATTTCATACATTGTCATAGAGATCCATTTACTTCAACTAAAGTTATTGTCCGGAAACCAAATGTGTCTTCGGACAACAACAGCGACATGATTGCATTACTCGAAAGCAAATTTTTGACATATTCCCCATTTCCATTCTGAATTTTATTTTGCCGTCGTATAAAAACTTGAAAAGTAAGCTAATAAAACAAAATGCAAAAATGACATAAAACTGACTCTGAATTAGTACATGAAATTGATGTAGAAACCCACAAACAGAAGATGATCAGGAATACATTTATACTGCTGAGCAGTGTTCTCCCCTCAAATTTTAAAAAGCATCCTAGAAAATAGCAAAATCTTTAGATTATCAACTCAACAATCCTATTTATGCTTCCTTATGCTTAGATCAAAATGAAAAACCTGATCAAAACATTTTTCTAAACAGGCTCACTGTAAATTCAAACTCTTCTTTTAACAATCAGAATGATCCTCTTGCTGATCACATATATATGAGATGCAGGAAACTGGGAATACAATATGAACATCCAGCTAATTTAGAAAGTAATAATAATTCAACAAACAGAAAGCATTGTTTGCAATACTAAATAAAAAAACAGCTACAACTTATTGATGAAAAAGATATTCCAAATCCTCCACCTTTTCATGAAAATCAACAAAAAATTAATTTAATAAAGTTATGGATTGTATAACAGTATTCATAGTTTTGAAATTAAACACATGTCTTATTATTGTTTTAAATTTTGTAAAATTTGTAAAGAAAGAAAAATGGATTTGAAAATGGCACAAGATAATGAATTTCATTTAGATAAATCACCAATAAATTTATTTTCAGCAGAAAACAATATGGACAATAAGGGTGCAACCATTTAGCTTCAAAAGAGTGTGGGGGGGGGGGGGGGGGTATGGTTTTTTGTTTGAGTTAGATTTTTTTTTCACGCAAAGGGCTTCAACGCTATCAATCAAAATTATTTGGTCAACAATTAACACTAGAAGGTATGGGGATAATCTGGATTCAGAATATTTTTTTGTCCTCTGCTTGATTAGAATATTTTTTTTCCCATCAATTTGGGAATCAGAATATTTTTGAAGAAAAAAAACATATTCCATCCTGCCTTTTGAGGTTCAATGATCGTTCCCTTAACATTTTCCATCTGAACTTATTATTTTATTTTAGACAAAAACTATATGTAGGACATTCGTCCTGAACATGAAATATTTGCCACTGGACGTTAAGCAAACCAACAATCAATCAATATGTAGGACATAGTCTTGGTAAGCTGGCATTCAAGGTAGCGCCTTCCTCATATTATATATACTATTCATGTTTTACATCATGTGGTATGGATAAACAAATTGGAGGCACAAGATTTCATAAAACTTTCCCATAAAAAAAGTGTCTTTTTGTATGTTTACCAATAAAATAGTGTACACAGGATATTGGACCAAATAATGAGGACCAGGTAAAACAAACCTTCTTGGCAGAAATGCACATTAACAATAACTATCTAGATCGAGAGTTGGTAAGTCATTATTATAAGAACCCCAGAAACAAACCTAGTTATAAGAATTTAAGGTTACTCAATGAACCATGTAAATGAACAAGTTCA